AAGGCAGTTATCCTGTAACACTGCCAGGCAAACACGTTAAGGTTTTAGTCACATATGTGGCAGACACTTCAAAACTCCACACATTCAAAGGGCTTACTGGAGCCAACATTCCAACTTAGTACTCATCCAGTTAAACAGAAGCTAATCAGAAGCTTGAAACAGTACACACTATATAAGAATTCTGGCAGAACACCACATGTATCAACCTTACATTAAAAAATCATAATGGCATTAAATCATCCTAAACCTCTAACATCCATTCACAAGAATACTCTCATTCTTTCATCAGAAACCACATGTCATTCTGACTCATATATAGTGCTAAAAATATAAATTTGACAAAACGTGGCTGAACCTGACCCAGACTCTTAAATATTTTCGTAACTCCAGAGGCAAAAAAGAAAACAGGCAAAAATCTCTTCACTGTGCAATACAGTATGCTTTGAACAAATGGCCTGGATGTAAGCAGTAGGTGGCAAAGTTAAAATAGAAATGTTAATCCTATGAGAGCCCTTGCCTGCCGTTTTATAGCCCTTCCTAAAGATTAAAAAAAAAAAAAAAAAGGAGTAAGGAACATAAAAATACTCACAGCCCTAATACTAAAAACTAAAAAAATGTTACAAGTCATCAACAAATACTACCAAACAAAAAAAAGCACTGTTTTTAAAATACATTTTTTTCAACCTGTGTTCCTTTTCAGAAGGAGGAGTTGCAGGAATGAATGGGAAAATAATTAAGTAAACTTAGTGTCTAGATCAAGTTTTCATAGACTAGCAAGATAATTTTTACTCAAGATTAAAGGAGAAATATTTATTTTGGGTAACATTATGAATTCCTGTATTATAGCTACATATTAGAAAATAGTTTCTTTATGAAGTCTTAATTTTTCTAAAATTATCTGATTATCAAACAAAATAAGGGTCAGCAAACTTTTTCTGTAAAAGGCCAAATAATAAATATTTCAGGCTTTGTGGGTTAAGTAGTCTCTGTGGCAACTACTCAACTCTGTCGTAGCACAAAACCATCTACGGGAAAAATGTAAATGAACAGATGTGGCTGTATTCTAATAAAGCTATATGCACACTGAAATCTAAAAATCTAATAATTTTCACTGCTCACGAAATATTCTTGTTATTTTTAAAAATCATTTAAAAATGTAAAACAACATTCTTAGTTTATGGACCATATGCGCAGTGGGCTAGACTTGGTCCAGGTTGTAGTTTGTTGACTCCTAGAGCAGACATTGATGATGCAAACTGTAAGAAATAAAAGATGAAAGGGCAAAGCTCACTTTTCTTCCTTCCCTTCTTTTTTCTTTTTCTTTCTTTCTTTCTGTCTTTCCTTCTTTTTTTTATTTATGTATTTATTTATCTTGGCATCTGGCAGCACACAAAATATAATGAGGCCGTCCCATAAGAGTGGAAGGCCAGATTACCAGCCTCTCAAACTCAGCTAGTGTAGTACGCTGTAATGGGCTAATTTTAACAGTTACCAGGCATTGCGCCCACACAACCACCATGGAGATTCTGTGCATTACAAAATCATTCATAATATTCAAAGTGAATACATCTACAAAATATCGTATTTACATTCCAATTAACTGTCACATAAGTTTTTCCTACACTTATTTGCATCTTCTTTGACAACTAATGTCTTCATCGAATTCCCCCGAATTTTCCATGATGGTACAGAGGAAAGGGAAGCCATGAGAGAAGCTTGCCTCATTGTGGCAATAATTGGAGCATAATTCTTTATTCATAACAGCTGAAGGGCTCTCTGGGGATTGGCAACACCCAAGACACATTATAGCCTTCCTAAGACATTCAGATACACAAAGGTAAGAAATCCTGGGAACAGTGACCTATGATTCTCTCAAGTTCTATTTCAGAAAAGGCTATTTTATTCACTTTTAGCAGCAACCAAGTACGGAGAACTTAGAAGAAATTTCACCAGCAATCCAAGAACTACTTGAGCAGCAAATATTTTATACCAATACACTGGTTGTTAGAGTTTCAGGTAAATTGAAATCACTGTTTTTAAATTATAGTGCAGTCTGATGTGATCAGGAGGATGAGGTTCAGTGGCTGAGTTATCATCTCTTCAGAAAGATGCTGTTGGCAGCGGCACTGCCACAGCACACACTTTCCTATTAGAGTGGAGTCTTTGAGAGACTTGTGGCTTTGTAAGCAATCATTAGGGAAGCTTTCCAGTACAATTAAAAACATATGCCTAAATACTGTTTTTCAAAATGACACAAATGTTTAAATACCAACATAAAAAATCTATGTAAAGGTGCCAGATACTTACGTGGTAAGAAAAGCCAAAGAATTTGTGCAAAAGTATGTTTCTTACTGCCTTCTATCTGAATAAATACTGCTGTACAGTTTATTCAGCCTTGAAACTTCCATCCATGAAATATACATATTTTACGTATAATTTCATGAAAAAACAACCCAATTGTGACATCAGAGTCCACCTTTAAGACAAGTCACTTACGGAAAGAAACAGGTCCAGTTCACTTCAGGAAAAAAAAAAATTTTTTTCAAATGCAAACTCCATGTTGGACGATCTGAGCCAAGTCTAAAAGCAACTCTTTGTAGTCATTTATATGGAGGCTATGTCTTTGGACAACACAATCTATATGCAAATGAAGATTAGCCTTTGCAATCAGTTATGAATTCATTTTATTACATGAGTAGCAATGGACATAGTTAACAATTTTCAATTCATTTTGACAAATATTTATTGAGCTTACCAGGTACGGTGACATGCCTAGAGAGAAATTATACAGTCATGCACAGCATAATGATGTTTTGGTCAACGATGAACTCCATATATGATGGTGGTCCCATAAGATTAGTACCATATAGCCTAGGTAGTAGTATGCTATACCACCTAGGTTTGTGTAAGTACACTCTATGTTGTTCACACAACCATGAAATCACCTAACGATGCATTTCTCAGAACTATCCCTGTCGTTAAGAGATACACAACTGTATATCAAGGATAAATAGATTCTTGAGAGAATGTGTGGTAAGAATACAAATATAGGAGATGGGATTAAGCATTAGTTAGAGAGTCTTAGAAGTAGCTAAATTGGTTTGAAGCGCGATGTTTGAAGTGTTAATGGGTCATACAGCTTGTGTTATCTAACAGTAAGTTTAAATGCAAATATTGAGCTTAGAAAATGGAAACAACTAGAGATATATATTTGGGATTTCTTTGCACAGAATAGATAATTAAAACCAAATGAATGAATGAGATGGCCAAAGAATAAGTAAAAAGAAGAGGACCATGCAGAACCTCTGGGAATACCCACAACTCACAGCCAGGAGGAAGCCAGGCTAACGAAGGAAACTGAGATAAAGCTGCCAGAGAAAGAGGGGACTTATGTGACTTCTGGCAGAAGCAACAGGTAAAGAGAGATTTTACAACGCCAAACGATGCAAAGAGGAGATGGAGGTATTTCAATGGTTAAAGGCGATTGGATATTCTTATCATGAGAACATTGAAGACCTTGGCAAAATCAGCAGTATAGCAGAAGTGGCAGTGGGTGAAGGTGTAGGTCTAGTTTCTATCCTAGCATAAGGTTTCTAAGCCAAGGATTCAGTGGAGGATGAAATGGAAGAATAAAGTGAATAAGAATATAATTGACAGAGAAAGGTCCTGGAGATGGCAGGAGGGGATAAAATTGAGAGCCGAGGGAGGAATGGTTAATCTGGGAAGGATGGATTATTCCTCAGGTGTGGGGCATGCAAAGAGAGGACCAGTGAAAACACAGATATGTCCAAGTGTGGGAAAGGATGCCAAACAGTATATGTCAGAGGATTCTCAACCTCAGACCAATAAAGCCAAAATTATATGAGAGTGAAAGACTCAGATCTGGGGTTTTAAATATAAGAATAAACATGGATAAAATAAGAACTTTATAAGAAAAACACACTTTGAAAGTTTTATTTAGCCAAGAAAATATATCCACATCTTAAACTGATTTAAGTCTGAGTGCAGTTCACTCCTTAGCTCAGAATACATATTCCACTGCTGCACATCTTATAATGAGGTTTACAGACACATTTTATATCTGTTTCTAAAACTAGTAGAGAAACTGCCTAATTTCATGGAATAGTTCTGACATTACAAGACAAGTAAAGAGATTTCATCACTGCCTTCAAGGTAGTTGGGAATGTTTGAAAGATCATATTAATTACTGCCTGCCTGGCAAACTAGAGTTTGTTTCTACTGAGTAGTGGTTCTCAAACTTTAGTGTGTATCAGAATTACCTGGAGGGCTTGTTAAAACACAGATGGCTGGGTCTCATCCCTAGAGTTCCTGGGTTAGAGCCTGAGAATTTGCATCTCTAACAAATTCTTGGGTAATATTGATTTTGCTGATCTGGGGACCACACTGAGAATCACTGCTAAAATCTAGCCATTCCACATTCACGTAGGTCTATAAACAAGCGTATTTTCACTCAACTTGTCTATTAAAATGACAAACTAGAATTGTGGATGTATTAAAACAGTATCATTAATATTTTCAAAAAACCTATCTGTATTTTAGTTATTAAATTCACTTTTAAGTGTTATCTAGAACTTATCTACTATTATCATTATCATTATCACTGGAAAATGGCTCCATATATTTATGAAAAAGTCACAGAATTTGCTTCAGTTGAGAGAAACACTTACCTTCGCTTAAAATTTCTTCCCATCCCTTCATTCAGCTCATTATTATTATATTTCACTACAATATGTGCCAGAACTGCTCTAGGTGCTTTACATGTCTCAAACCATCTGTTCCTCACAACAACTCTATAAAGTAATTTATTTTATTGACTCCATTTTACAGATATGGAAATGGAGGCATAGAAACATTAAATGCCTCAATGAAGCATGTTGACAGAAGTAAACATTGGAGTCTTTCTAGTTCCAGTATCATGGCTCTTACCTATAATGCTTGTTTACTACACACTAAGGTGTAGTTTGAGCTCAAATACTTACCTGTTCCGAGAAACAGGACGTGGTATCTACCATCGGCAGCATTCACTCGATCCACAGCTATCTTTGTGTACTTATAGTCAGTGCCTATACGAACAATCAAAGGCCTCCTGTGGATTGGGTAGATGGAATTGTACATGAGCGGATGGTTCCGTATAAAAGTGACAACGTCATCTGGGAACTCCTTGGTGGTTCGCATGTTGGGTGTAAAGGCTCCTCCTGGGCACTAAACAATTTTAAAAAGAATCAAGTTAATTAAATAGATAAAATCAAGTTAATAAAATATTAATAGTAATAATCACAAGGCCTCTACTTTTCAAGATAGTTAGAAGCTCAAGTTATTGTAAGTCATGTTGTAAATAAGGTCATTTTGTATATGATATTACTTTTCACCCTTCTCATGCATCACTTTTCTATTTCTTATTCTGAGCGAAGTACAGTGCTGATAGAAAAAAAAAATCTTGTGGCTATAATCTAATGCTGCTACTGGCTAAAATAAATTACATTATCATTACCAAATTCAATCAGAACTCCCATGTGCAAGTTTTATTATATCTGATCTCCCACCCAAAAAAGAGATCTCTGAAGTTGGAGTTTGGATTGGATGCGGTAAATTAGACCTGATAATTTCCCACTAGAAAAGACCCCAGTGACTTCCATTACTCCTAGAACAAAATCCCAACAGCTTAGCACGGCCTACAAGCTCTTGAATGTCTAGCCTGTGTCTACCATCACCGTAGTAGTTCTTGCTCTTCCTGAGCCTCAAGCATGCCCCCCCTCCAGGACCTTGGCACTAGCTGCCCCCCAAGGACAATACTCTTCTCTAGACAATTCCGTGGTTTTCTCTGTTACCTCATTCAGTTCTCAGTTCAAAGTTACTTCCTTAAAGGTGATGATACATATAAAAATAGCTCCCCATCTCAGTCTCCACTCTCTATCTCCTTAGCCTGCTTTACTTTTCTTTGCAGCCCTATTTACCAAACTGTATATTATATATTAGCTGCTTATGTCTTTATTGTCTGTTTCTTCCTCTTGAATGTAAGCTGTGTATTCCCTTAACTAGGTGTATTTTGTTCATTGTTTCTTAGACTGATAACAAAGCTGACAAATAGCGGATATTCGACGAAGAGTAGTTTAATGAGTAAATTAGTCTATCATATCTGGCATTCAATTTTGGTGCAGGGGCTATATAAAACAGGGGCTTCAACTCTGGCCAGGAGAGGAAAGATTCAGAACACCAAGTTCAAAGGGGCAGATAGGAAGCAATGACGAGACCTGAAAAAGGACTGCTGGTCAGCTTCAGCAGTTCCAGAAAGGGAGCGTGACAAGGGCTTCTGAGGAAAAGATTCCATTTACAGGCCACCTGAGGCCAAACTCAAGGGTAGGCTGGGAGCTGCTGAAGCTTGGAACTCAAACTCACTCACAAATAGGATCCATGCATTACATTATACAAGCAGAGCTGTTGCGTATAATCTTTTAACACACACAAGCGCTATTTGTCTAACCCAATTAAACACCTGTCAACATCTCTACTTTCAGAAACAAAAATACTTCGTCATATTTTTCTTGAAACAGAAGCACTCCTGTTCTAGTTTCCATTTATCCTCTTTAGAGAGGTATGAGGTAAAAGAAAGCAACAAATCAAGCTTCCTGATGACAGCAGTGGGCACAGTATCTACGGTAAACAATAGGACGTAATGGGGACAGTAACAAATGCAAAGTTATACTTATTCGAAAGTGGCAATAAGCACTTATTTCTAGCTGATTGCTCCTGTGCAGGAATATAAGCCTACTGTAGACAGATTTCAACAGAAGATAGAAAGGTGGAATTCTATGTGAAATCGGCCCAAAATTTAACATTGACTCAATGAAAAAGAAGAAAAACAACGTTAGGGACCTAACAAAACATAGCAACCTCTGGGTTAAATCCTTCCAACAGCTGTCTCACAACGTGAGTGCCTCTGTGTTAGTATTGCCAGGCAGACCCACATTTGCAAATAAGTCTCAGCCAATTACTCAGCCAATTACACTCATTTAGACTGTGTCATCCTGAATGCAATTTTTAGACAAACTTTGACCACTTAGCATTACTAGAAGTTTTTACAGGCTCAGTAAATATAGTTTTCTTTTTGTAGAAAGGAACAAGGAACAATTAAATGACTTCACTACAGGGAGAGAATGAGGCAAATAATAATAAAACTAAACCTCTCATTTGTTATCCCATTATCTCAACTTTCATCTGGTGCTCATATGCTTTTCTTTTAGGAAAAAGCATTATATTTAAATATACATGTTTATAAATTGCTCCTCCAAAAAGACCAAATTAAGACAAAAAATTTCATTTGAGGGTGTTCTAAACTAATGGATGTGTTCCATACTTCTGAAAAGAATAGAATTATGGGTGTTTTCTACCCTCATTCCTTACACAAAGTGGAAAAAGGGAAATACATTGCTCACTGAATGAAAACATGGAAAGAACAAATGCATGGGCAATTTAAATAGTTCCAGCCCTTCAGAAAACACCACTAATTATGGTTTGCTAAGCTGAGATGTCTCCTTAAATATTTGCAAGCATTCTCATTTATAAGTTCCAGAAAGATCCAAAGTTAGCATATATTACCAGGCAATTTATGTAACTTCCAGTTAGCAATTATTTTCATGTGTGATAAGCTTATTAAATTATAAGTGTCTAGTGCTGGGTTTTAATGGTAACTGAAATTCAAATAAAAATTATGTTTTAGTTGCTCAAAACTGTAGTTATTGGGGCCGGCCTGGTCGCGCAAGCAGTTAAGTGCGCGTGCTCTGCTTTGGCGGCGCAGGGTTCGCAAGTTCGGATCCCAGGTGCACACTGACGCACCGCTTGTTAAGCCATGCTGTGGCGGCGTCCCATATAAAAAGCAGAGGAAGATGGGCCTGGATGTTAGCCCAGGGCCCATCATCTTCAAGAAAAAGGGGAGGATTGGCATAGGATGTTAGCTCAGGGCTAGTCCTCCTCACAAAAAAAAAACCAAAACCTGTAGTTATTAAATAGGTAACCCAAACAAATCAACTCAAATCAGCTATTTTATATCTTTCAAACGCCCTCCATTTGAGTCTTTTGTCATATTCACAACGAACTTCTTGCTTAGAAATAAGTGTCTCCTGGTATACGTTTATTTTCAAAATTACAAAAGAATTCTTTTGTCAATAATTAATTTTCCACTGATTCATGGTGTAAACTTTGCAGATAAGACAAAGAATGAGCGACAGTGATGGTAACAAGAACAAAAATTGATTACCCTTTGCAGACTCTCTATCTGGACTTGTGAGTTTGTTCAGTGCCACACTGCTAAGTATAAATAAGATGTGATTAACTTTTCCCTCACCTTGTGATGTATGAAAGCATGTGTATTGAAGCCTCAAGATAATACAACATCCATGTGCTGCCATAAAATAAAGCCTTTGTCCATTAATTAGGCTGGAGTCTCATTCTTCAGAAAGATAATTTTGCTCTACAAATAGTCACTAAGTAATTTTGGTTAAACTTCTCCTTTAAGTGTCCGTTTTTCTCCAGTTCTAGTTTTCTGTCTATCAAGCAGCGATAAGCACTCCTTTTTTGAGTCAAGACATTTTAAGTGTTTTGATTACTAAAGTGTTAGTTGAAATGCTAGGAATAATCAGAATGCCATGGTAAGGAAGTATCAGCAATTGTTGCCCTTACCTAATTTCTTTCCTAATCTTGGGTATTCTTGAGCAACTGCTGTCCTCTGATGCTCCTAAATGTTCTCCTAATCCTCACATCCATTATGCTAGTCTTCAGTATTCATATATTCATATATTAATTCATATGTCCATTCTTTGGACAGCTTTTATTCAGAAAGCATTTTGATGTGCCCAGTAGGGGACATAAGAATAAGAAGCTACCACTGTCTTCTAGACACAAGTATTTTAGTAAGGGAGATGGACATATTCAAAGCAAAATAACAATTAAGACATATAATAATAATTTAAGACAAATATAAATTAAATAACAGAACTTGGCTCACGATCAATTGCTATATATATTTAAGAGCTAATATTTTTTAAATGAATTTAGAAAGTAGAGAACTTAAGGTCGCCAGGATTAGTGAAGAGGTTTAGAGATTAAAAAAAGACAACAAAATTTGGAGTATTTAGGGAACTGTAATTCCTGGGGCATTGCTGGATCATAGAAGAAAAGTAGAGGAAAGAGGTAGGAGTTGAGGCTAAAGATAGCAGAAAATAAATGCAAAACTAGTCGGAGAAGGAGTGATTGGCATGGTCAAGGGGAGCTTGACCTAACACTTGAAAGATGAGTGGTATATGGTTAAATAAATGGACATAAATAAACAGTATTCCAGAATCTGGGCTAGTTTCTAGCATTAGTCTTTGAAACTTGTGTCCTGAGAGAAACTGAACTTATGTTTAAACCCTTGGTAATCTAGGGTTTATTTAAAGCCCAAAGAATTACATAGCTGAAGACTTCTACTTATGCACCAGCTGGCCCTCATCTTCTTTACATTTCTCCTCTACTACTTACAAGAGCCCTCTGCTCCAGTCCTACTAGCCCATGCAGAGCTTCTATAACTCACATTAATTTCTATTTTTGCTTGTAATGTATGCTGTAACCTTCCTTACTTATCCAAATTATCCACATCCAATTGCCCTTTAGGGCCGGTTAATCTCATATTTTTTATATGCTTTTCCAAACAAGGCTGTCCCACAGCCTCTCTCTCCTCCAGACTTCAATAATATTTATTGTCTATTTTATTCATGCCTTGAATAATGACATGAAACAATATGTAATTAACTTTGCATGTCTATATGCCTTATGTGTTCAATTTTATTATAAACTTTCCTAACTGAATGTTTTTGAACGTATATGAGGAATAGAAATACTTCTAATGTAAGAACAACCAAAAGATGCATGCAATCAACAAAAGTGCCAGCAATAAACCTCTTTTCTTGCCTCTACTGACTGTGTGAATCCTTAGTTTTCTGTGTTCTTTTGCTGCACCAAGTACCAAACCTGTTCAAAGCACGGTGTTCAAAGCAGATGGTTCTGGTCCACTTAAAAATAGATGTTAAAACTGAACACTTTATTAGGTTCTGCTTTAACAGGAGAGTATAAGCAAACAGCACCTCTACAGAAGCTTTATACACGTTGTAATAGAATAATGTAATATGTTAGCTCAGCTACAGAGAGAATCTGCAGTCTTTGGCTGCCCTTTGCAACATACCAAAGGTGTCTTGTTTCTTCCACCAACTTGAATTACTTATGGAAAAACATTATGACACAATTGGCAGGCTTCTTCCTACTGCCTTGGGCTTGCTGGTTGGGGCAGTGTGCTAACACAGCCATCAACCCTGCTCTAAAAGAAGCACCTACAGGGAACATTAGAATGAGGGTGTAAGATTTCTGCCAGTGTCACTGCTTTAAGAATCCAGTCATATATTTATGAGGTTGACCTGGCAACTGGACTACCGTGTAGTATAAACTGGACCCAACCGTTTCCCTACTGTGTAGAGAAATAAAGTACAGCAATCACAGTTGATCCTTCATTGAGAGGACTTCAGAGGAAACATCGTTAACCCTAGAGAAGAGGGTTGCTTGGCTGTAGGTCTTCTGGCTACATGAGTGGAATATTAAGCCCTGGAAGCCCAGGAAAGACACGCTGGCCACTCTGAGTCAGAGGGCTGACTTCACTGTGTATTGCTCAGTGCAGGGTGGAGGGACCAAATCTTCAGGGAGGTGTGCTTTTCCAGGAGGAGTTCCAGAGGTCATTCCCCACCCTGCCTCCTTTATTCCCGAAGGATCACTCATCTGACAATTTTCTTGTTAAAGGAGCTGCTCTGGTCTCAGCACCAGATGTAAGAAACCACGTTATAGAAATATGTCTCAAGTACCGACCACTCCTTTTCTTCACGGAGTCTGCTCCAGATGTGAGTTGCTAAGCCCTGGCTTATACCACACTGCTTTAGAACAGGAAAAAAATACTTATGATTTGGAGCTCAGAAATAGTGAAAAATGGGATTGTTAGTCTAATTTTCTAATTTAGCATTGGTTTATTTTGTTTTACTAACAAGGGTTTAATTATTCCCACATTTTATGAAGAATAATTGCTATTCAACATGAGTGGTTTTCTCACTGTGATTCTGAGTTCTTTTGAGCTGCCATTTGGGCGAAGAGTCTCATGATGCTTGGGCCCGGGATGGCTTTTCTTTAGGGAAAAAATCCTAATTTGTAATATTCGCCAATTTCCACATTGTAAATGCTCCCACCATGCTGATTTCAAGGGACTCTGCGGTGATGTCCTTACTTGAGACGAGGTGCACACAATCCGCTCTTGTGAGTGGGGAGTGAGCCGGCTCCAGAACACACTCTGAGGCTCTGAGGCCTCAAACCTTGATTCACTTAGTGTGCCTCTCTTTCATCTGTTTTATTTGTTTATCTCAGAGGTTTCTTTTAAGGTATTATTTGCAGGAAAATGGAATTTTGTTGAATTTACAAAACAATCGCTCCTGTACTAATCCCATATATATGTCGTCCAAAAGAATAACTGATGAAAGCATATGCAATCACAGCCATCTCTTAATTTTCTGTATTAAGATGAAGCAACGACTTGGTCAACTTCAAAAAGCAAATAATTCTCAAAATTTATGATTGATCTTTGCATATATTCTCAGTGAGCATCTGGAAATGCATGGAATACACCGAGTGAAATAAGGAGAGCCTGGAGCTATAATGGAATTTGAAAGTTGCTCAGCGTCCCCCTTTGCATTCCCTTCTCTTATGTAATCCCTGCTTCTTACCCAACGCACCCCAACCTGAGGTAGCCTAAAACAGATATATCTGTTGACCTCTTTTCCTTGTGTTATACAAAATAAATAAATGTTTTTTTCATCTTCTGTTGAACTATGAGCATCAAAGAGATCATTTAAAAGGTGATTGTGGATTCTACGATAGGACTTTGTTGCCACTCATGATTAAGTATGCCTTTTTAAATTTAATTCTTTCATGGATAAGTAGCAATGCTGATAGTCTTTCCAAAGTTAATTAAAAGTTAATTTTTCTAATAAAATGCAAATCAATGATTTTTTTTAGACCATTATTATTTTTTTTTGAGGAAGATTGGCCCTGAGTTAACATCTGTTGCCAGTCTTCCTCCTTTTTTCCTTTTTTCTCCCCAAGCCCCAGTAGATAGTTGTATATCGTAGTTGTACATCCTTCTAGTTGCTCTATGTGGGATGCTGCCTCAGCGTGGCTTGATGAGCAGTGTGTATGTCCACGCCCAGGATCTGAACCGGTGAACCCCAGGCTGCCGAAGTGGAACGGGTGAACTTAACCGCTATGCCACGGGGCTGGCCCCTAAATATTAATGATTAATCTTTGAGCTTCCTAGCCAGGGAACCAAACTTGAGCCCTTTTAATTTTGAATATACAAATAGATTCTTTAAAGGCTTAGCAAACTATTTTTTTTATTTTTAAAAAATTTGACTAATTTAAGACTTAGACTAATAAGTCTAATTTAAGATGATGAGAAAATAAAGGAGTAAATAATACATTGTGAATAAACTCTAATAATAACACAAAAATAAAGTGAATCAACAATTAGTAAAAATTATTTGGGATGAATTTCTGAAAGCATATTGGCAAAAGGAATTTCATATTCAAGTAAAAAGGAAAAAGAAACATTTTGTTTAAATATTATTTTAACAACTACCTTTTGATTTTTTCCATAAAATCATTCTTCTTTACTTATATCCACCCCATTTTATAATTATAACCCTATCCTGTGAAATACAAAGATATAAGAAACTTATATTCCTCTTGATGGTCAATTGTATAACATCTCCTCTCAATCATTGTACTGTATAACATTTTACAGAGATAGATTCTAATCAATATTCTAGAACGCAATACAGCGTTATTATGAGCCAAATGAAAAACAAATAGTAGGACTGTGATCACTGTAGTCATAGAAAACTTTCAATTCCAATCTGCCAGTCCACCATCTGTAACTTCAGCTGGAAAAGCTAGTTTTCAATGTATCCCTTCATACTACTAATATTGTTAAGACATGGATATATCTGTTGGCCTCAAAACTTTAGAGTTTATAAACATTTTATTTGAATTATAACATCACATTCATTGTAATTCTTTGCTCACACATACCATTTTCTTTCTTTGAGAAATATACAACATATAATTTTTAAATATATCCCTTAAAATTGAAATATATCCACATGATTTATCTCTGAATTAATTCTTACATGGTTATTCCTTCATTAAAATAGATGAGAATCCTTAATACAAGGAAGAATTGTGAAAAGCAACTAGGGTTCAAACTCTTAGGCCACCACTGAAATGTTTAAGACTTTCTAAGCTATGGTTTTTATGCCAATAAAATTAGGAAAATATCCCTGCCCCTGTTTAACATACCTAGTTGTCTTGAAATCTAAATGAGATTTTATCAGCAATACCACTTAGAAAAAATTGCAGAGAGTGCTATAGCATATTTGTAAAATCCCAAATCTGGGAACCTGTGAGCTGAAAAATTATGATGAGTATACCAGTAGGTCTATGGTTGTATTTAATAAACATCAACATGATATTCATTTCTTGTTAAATTTTTTTTTTTTTTTAAAAAGCAAAATAACAAAGAAACTTTCCTGAATACTTACAGTTCCAGGGCGAGGATACGGAATTCTCCCCTGATAGGAGATGAGCTGGTGATTGGGCCCTTCTTTGTGGGCAAAAGGCCCATTAAACACAGTCTGTATATCAGATAAATGATACACACACACTGCTGATCCTTTAAAAACAGAGCTAAAAAAAGAAAACAGATTCATTTTCTTATTTTTTAAATTTAAATATGATTTAAAAAAAGAGATGGCAAAATTTGTGATAAAAATTTGATATAATCATCATGGAAAGGTTGAATGTTACGGCACACATTGTAAAGCTAAAAAACTTCCACTGTTTTGAAATAAGCCATTTATATGTAAACCATTACAACATTTAATTCCTCCATGGAGGAAGTAAACAATAATAAGTTACAGAAAAGTTCTCAATGTTTACCAAATAGAGGACAAGTCAAAGAAGTTTCTGACTAGTTTATCTTAGCAACAAAAAATGAATTAATTTATTTTAAAAAATGAATTTGAATTCTAAATCACTATCAGTACAACCTATCATAATTTAACTCATAGAAATAAATCTCACTAAGGGAACACCATATCTCTCTCTTTTTTTTTTTTTTTTTGGTGAGGAAGATCAGCCCTGAGCTAACATACATGCCAATCCTCCTCTTTTTGCTGAGGAAGACTGGCCCTGGGCTAACATCCGTGCCCATCTTCCTCCACTTTATGTGGGATGCCGCCACAGCATGGCCTGACAAGCGGTGCATCAGTGCGCGCCCAGGATCCAAACCAGGCCACCAGCAGCGGAGCAAGCGCACTTAACTGCTATGCCACGGGGCTGGCCCCCACCAAATCTGTTTGTCTTAAGATTATTTTAACGTGAGAGTGCTCTCACATGTTATCCTAAATAGTAGCTGGGGAAGTCAAAATTGTTGTTGTTTGTGTACTTTCCCTATTCGGAGCAGAAAAAAACAATAGGGTCCAAAAAAGATTTATTAAATTACCTGTAGTCAATAAAATCTCATAAAATTTATTTGGATCCTTACTAAAAACTATTTCCATTGTCACTAAGCGAGATTGATGGAAACCAACATTTCTCTGACTCACATATTTCTCTTAAATTCCATACCTAATGGAAAACTTAGATGCGCATTGAAAAAAACAAGATATATTATTAATCATTAGCACTAATACTCAGAAATGACAATTTTGAATTTTTCAATATTAAAGCTATTGGTGTTGAGAAAAACAGAAACTAGGAAAATATTTTTTTTTTTTTGAAACAAGCATTTTCTCCTTAAGAATTTGGTTCTCTTTTCTTTGTTCAATTCTTTGCTAGTTAAATCAAGACGACTTTCTGTGTTAGAACAGGAGTTAAACTCATCCTGAAGGACATCTTTTTAAATATATTCTAGGGAAAATGTAAATATGATTTATAATCAATATCCCTGGGATTTTCTTTGACTTTGAATGACTCATTACAGTTTACAATTATACTGTTTCCCCCTCTAGAAAAAAATGCTAAAATCTTTAGATTTTTGTTTTGTAGTTGATTGTCTAATGAAAGGGACCCATTACATTCTGTACTGGCCACGTCACAGCTGGAGTAGTGTGTTGAATTCTGTATAATATTCCTAGTGTAAAATGAGTAAACAGAAATAAGTGCAGGAAAGAGTGAGAATATGGTGTTTTGTCTTGAAATATATGATAACTGGGATTGGGCATCCCACATAAATTAGAAAACATTGAACCTATTTGCAAATATATGAAATACTGTCATATGGAACATGAAAACCCATTCAATGTTTTGCTAGTTTCTAAACAGCACTGTAGATTGCTCCAGGAGTAAAAATTATTTTAATAGAAATGTCAAAAGCTTTAATTGAATTACGAGTCTTCAGAATATTTCCTTAAAACAAAATATCTTATATACTTTATTCCTGCACTATAATTCATATTTCCCTTTCTTTGAGAAAAATAGCATATAATCATTATAAATACTCTGTACAACACTATTTTGAAAGCGTTAGTTTTCATATTTTTAAGCATTAGTTACCTTAAATATATTTTGGTAATCAGGCAAAAGTAATAAAAGAGGAGGGTGACATCTTAAATGCTATGTAAAAGTAAAAGTTGAAAAGAAAGCTTTTGTAATAATTGCTATTACTCAATAAAGTTTATGGTATAACTCATAAAATGTAATTGTTTAATAATTACCTTGATGTTGTAAAAATGCCATACACTAGAGTTGTCCTTGGGTTATCAGTTTCCAGCAGAAACACATCCTCTACAAAAGGGAAATATCCTTCTTTTAAAGTTCCCAAATATTAACCGTATTTTTAAAAATTTACCCCTAAGAAAATAATTTCAACTATGAAAAGTATTATGCAGAAAGATACTCCTGCAGCATCATGGTAATTTGGAATTTGACCATTTTCTAAATATCCTTCAAGGATAATACATTACATTTTTTAAAATTTAAAAAGTATTACAACTCTCAATTTCTTTTTTGACCTAGGGTTAGAAGATGGAACACGGAAGAAAACTTTTTCACAGTGACTTTTTTTCTTTGTAAAATAAGAGGTTTTTTTGGATTATGGTCAAAATTGCTAGTGATATTTTTATTTAATAATTTCCCTAACAACAAGAAGTTTAAAGTAAATTAAGGCAAAGACAAAGGTACAGATAGTAAGGTACAGTAATACATAACAGAACCTGGAAGTAGATTTCTGATAGGAAACTCCAATTAATAATTGTCATGATTACAAGAGAGGTCTGTAGTGACCTTTAGTGACCTTTTTGCAAATAAGATTCTTGTTGAGGAATACGAAGAAAGATATATTTATTTTAAATTTGCAATGAATTTAGGATCTTTTAAGCAATAAATCAATAACCCCTAGGCTTTCCATACGTGAACAAAGACTGACACTGTCTAGCTCTCCCTAAAAAACAAGAGAGACTGAAATATCCTAAGTCACTGAAACATAAACATACTTACAAAGAATTTGGGAGGAAATAATAAGTGACTAGGTTATAACACAAAATCATACTTAGAACTTTTTTCTAGAAAAGGTGACACAGAAACTTTTGTTTCTATGATCAACATAATGGCTTTTGAGGAGATGAACTATCTACTTCAGTTTTTATAACTGTTAGAACTAGAAATTTTTCCACGTTGTAACACACTTTTATTGCTTACCTCATCACCTGTCTCAAAATCTGAGAACAACCAGCATTTTACATTTTAGTGGATTAAAGCAAAATGAAATTCATTTCTAAATGGCAGTTAGTAAACATGACACTGTGATGTATACCAAATTATTCTGATTCAAAAGAGAACTGTTCCTTGGTAGAAAGGAATCAGATTGTTAGTCCTTGTTTCACCTGGGAAGTATAACTCTCCTCATGTCACACATGCTGAGGATACTTAGTCCCAGGGTCACCAAGAAGAATGAAACTTGGAGCCTAAGTCTAAACTTCTACTCTGACACTCTTCCATCTTACCTCTATTCCATCTATTAACAGTAACAGTAAAAATATACAGCTGTATTCTCATACAAACTGATTTCAAATCAGAATATTAGAATTTAGACATGTATGAAATACACATCCATTTTAGAGGAGCACAAATATATATTACCTATATATATTATACAAGTACTTCTCTCTGTCACACACACACACTCATTGATATATCACGGTGAATTCAGTGAACTACATATTTTAGCAGTGCAGTCAGGGGCAAAACAGATTTAAAAAATACTCAAGGAAATTTATGAACAGTATCCAGATCATTAATTCCAACTGGCATATTATTTATACTGAAAACATCCACAGAAAATACATCCTCTTCTGAGAGCTTATTAAAATATATAAACTTTACAAAATCTCTTTCAAAAACATTTTTCAATCTCACATCTATGTACCTAATTCATCGAAGTGCGTTTCTGGGCCATCTTCATCAGTCACCGAGCACACCAGCCTGGCTTTTAAGAAGGTAGTCCACTTGTTGACAAGACTGCGCAGTCCACCAGTGTCATTCTGAAAGCATTTTGTAAACACATTTCAGATTGTTTAACTAAATAGTGAAGTGTATTAAAAACTCAACTTGGATTCTTACTACTTGGAGATTTGTTATAACCTGAAGGATGGAAATGTTAACCACATCTGTATATCAATAGTTAGAGAGGAATATTTAAGATCTATAGTATTTTATAAAATAGTCATAGTTATACTACAGTATGGTACAACTGAAAATGTTTCAAAAAAAGAAATTAATAAATATATGCCCTAAAGCTTTCTAAATTTAACAAACATGATGAAAATATTCTTAAAATGTTATGGAGAATACACAATTTAATTCACCTTTTCTTGATAACTCGTTGTCTTCAATACGAACATAAATTACTGTACACAGTGAAGCTTGCAAATTCTACTGTGGTCAGGAGAGTGGGTTTATATTTACACCAGTGGTCCCCAATAGTTTTGTTTTCTCTCCTTCATTTCTCTGAGTTATCATTTAGTCCTTAGTATTTCTAATCAGATGCATTAATATACATGTCTCTAGCTGGGGCAGGGAGAATGGCATTTGGATCATTCACAGTCTCTATTGATGATATTTTTTTTCTGTACACCCAGAAGCCTTTCACTTCTTCTGCTGGCTTTAACGCCTTGTTCCAAATGATTGAGAAGCACATGAGCTCCATGGTCAGTGGAATATTGTAATATTTAAAAATAAACTATTTAAAACACTAAATCCTTTAAGAAATACTTTTGCACAAAAGATGCTAATCATAAAGAAGTCAGGACAAGTCTGTAAAACTCCTACATGAGAGGACACCATGAGTTTTTTGAGTTGCTGTGTATACTTACTGTTTAGACACAAGAACATTTTGGTTACTGTTTAGAATTAGAACTCTATTTTACCAAAGAATTTCTTAATTTTCACTGTCTTAGACAGTTCCCAAATAATTGTCTTTACTGAGGTTTTGCTGTATTTTATTCTTGTACTTAACAAGAAATGTTCTGTTTCTTTCTGTAATACACAATTTAGCTATGTTTTTAATACTAATGGAATTAAATAGAAAAGCAAAAATTAATCAAAACTGTTTGTGTAAAACCACGACAGAAATATTTCCTTTAACTAAGTTTTCTGCTGAAATAGGGTGTTTATCTTGTATGAATGATGTGAATAAACATTAAATTAAAATGTCTCTTCAACATTTTATTAATTTTTAACAGTAGATAATAAAAGTAGGCAGAGAAATTATTGGAAAAAGAAAACATTTTTATATAATTTGAACTCTTAGTTTTTCTTCAGATTAGAACAACACTAATACTTACAGGACATATTCTAGCGATCATGGAATGAATCTGTTTTGTGCTTCTGCTGTTGTCGGTCAGTTTCTCTTTGAAGAAGAAGTACACCTTGGCATCGTTCGGATCAGTGCCATCTGGGATAACATGTGCATCCACAAACATAGGTTCTGGAAAAAAATATAAAGACTATATATATACTCATGATGAAAATCCATCTATGGTCCATCCAAGCAGACCACAGGCACATGCCTTCTCCATCGTCGGTATAAAAGAACAATTTGATGTCCATAGACAAAAAGTCTAAAAGCAGTAATTGTACTCACTCAACATACCACATCTGGAATGTCAAGTGCCACAAAGTATAGCCATAATATGATAGCTTAAACTATTTTTCTCTGTCTGCAATACATTCTGGAAGTGCAGTAAATGCAAAAATTCTTTGTGCACTGATAAGTTTTAAAAAATGGAAAAGCTTTTCTACTAGTTATTTCCCATGGAATCTGATGGTCGTTTTATAGAAAAAAATGTTTCTTTTTCAAAGTGTGGTTTTCAATCTAGTGCATATAAACTCAAAATCATTGAAGCAGAATGAGGAATCAGGAGTCCAAGATCTGAAAAACACATTTTTCTTAAAATGCAGCATATGAAATGAAGGGGAAACTTTTCAAGGAAAAATGCAGTCTTTTGAAGACATAGAAGGATTCCTTATTTCAAGAACAAAACAACTTTTAGAACACTCTATTTCCAGATGTACTGGAGGAACAATTTGAAGAAATAAACGGACAATCAATGCTTTCTTGTGCTGGTCTATCAGTGAAATAAGATGCTTAATGTGGTGATTCATGCTTAACTGTGCAACGCTAAGTGAACTGCCAAATTTAGGGTCAGCTAGAAGTTTTCCCCAGCATGAAATGTCAAAGATCTTAGCGGTTTCTTTCTCCTCTAAACAACAGCAACTGACTGGGATTGTACGTTAAAGTCAAATGAGCACCTTTCATGACGTGAATTCCATGTGACTTCAAGAATTGAAATTAGTCAAATATTGATAATCATAAAATTATCATACCTGTTATTTCTATTAAGTAGTAGTCAAATTATGAAAAAATAATATATACCAGCTTTATAATTTTAGAATCTAAGTATAAAACAAAGAGGAGGAGTTCCTGAATATACCCTATTCATTATATCTAACATTCATAAATTTAGGAAAATTTTCAGTTTGGCATTATTAAAATATACAAGCAGATTAAATCAATAAATAGCATATTTCATTGTAATATGTTACAATTAAACAACTGGAGAAGATTCTTGTGTACGGGCATGTGTGATGACTATCACTGTCATTTTTATTTATTCATATATCCCATGATAATTGTTTGATAGTTAATAAAGAGCTAGAATATGAACTATGGACTATTTCAATTATTTATTTATCCTAAATATTTAAAATCATAGAATAAGAATTGTCATTACTCATGTCATGGCCCGATATTTTAATTTTTGAACCATTTTAACCCAATTTTCATTATGGAATTGAACAAAGTACTTTAAAGCATGATTCTCAAAAAATGCATAAAATGTGTTCTTACCACTCAGCCATTTGGAATTGTGTTGATCTGTTCTGACTGCATTCCTCTTGGTTAAACTGCGAAAAATAGCAGCATCTGTCCCCATGAAATCTATATACATTCCAGAGAAAAGCTCTTCATCTATGAAAAAGAAAATGTCAACACGATTTTAAGTGTTTTTTAAGGCTATTTTAAAAATCAAGGAGAATTTGCTTATTAGATCATCCCACACATTACAGAGGGTTTATAATCGTTAATTGGTTTCCATTGTCCACCAAATCAAAAAGTTAGATAAAGTTTAGTCTAGTTTCATTATTGCCTGTATGATTACAACTTTATTCTATATAGAAATAAAAATTCCTCTGTCTGTACTTAATTATTTACTTATGTTTATATAGCATGTATCAGAAATGGCAAAAATAATATATGTACAAAAGATAACAAAATGGCTTAATTATTATTTACTTTTAATAAGTAAAAAATACTAGAAGAGTTAGAAAACCTGGTTTCTAATCTTGGCAGTAATTAACAAGTTGGGAATTAGGGCTAAGTCATTTAGCACCCTGAATCTCAATATTCTCATTTGTAAAATATGGGAATTGGATCATAATCTCAAAAGTTATCATCACATATTAAAAATTCTATGGTTTTACTAAATGAATTGAAAATAATAATAATTATTATTATTATTTCATGATATAGCAGCCATATTAAAATTGTCAAAATACTGAGGCCGGCCCAGTGGCGTAGTGGTTAAGATCAAGCGTTCTACTTCTGTGGCCCAGGGTTCATGGGTTCAGATCCCGGGTGTGGACCGACACACCACTTGTTGCTGCCCATGCTGTGGCAGCGTCCCATATAAAGTAGAGAAGGATGGGTACAGACGTTAGCCCAGGACGAATCTTCCTCAGCAAAAAAACACGAGGATTGGCAACGGATGTTAGCTCAGGGCTAATCTTCCTCAAAAAAAAAAAATTATCAAAATACTATTCATGATAAAATAATTTCATTGTTTAAAGTATATATTTTGATTGTTATTGCTAGAAGGTTTCTATAAGGTAATCAAAGTGCTACTTTTCAATTGCAATACATAACATAATAACATTACTTTAATGTAATATTATGTTAATAAGCCACGTATGGCTTAACGTATTAAGCCTTAAAAAATAGAATGTAGAGGCAAGAAAGAAAGGATACTTTTAAATTAAATCAAGTTAAATTACCATTAGTAATGGCAAAATCAGATACTTTAATCTGTATATACACAACATTAGACATTTAGCTTATTTGTTAAGATCCATATTAATTTTTATCATAGTAAGGAGAGTAAGCATTGAATTAGTATGTGTGACCCTGGAGTATAAAACAGTAGTTAAATAATCTATTTTAAAAAGAATAAAATTTATCAGGTCTGACCCACTGAACCACCATGCAGCTGGTTCTTTGACTGACGTTCTAGAGTTACTCCCTTGGCTACCTTCAGATTGTGGTCATTTTGGCAGGACCAGAACATTTTGAGGCACTCTAAGCTCACTGTTTAGTAATAAACAATACTAGTTGGCCCAGGATAGAATGGAGAATGAAATGTTTTCAATATGTGCTCACCAGGTCATGAACTGAACCCCTACCAGTTAGCAAGTAGGTATGGTGGGCACTGTGACACCCAGTTCTGCTGCCTATTAGGGGTCTAAAGCCCAAGGGAACAGATTACAGGGAGATGATAAAATGTGCATGAAAGCATTTTGAACAATTTAGCTTCTTTAAAATTCTGTAAACACTTGTGAAGCATCTACACAAGTATTCTGTAGACACAAGGGTTGTTAAATTGAGATAACTTTGTAATTAATCATTTCACATTTTTATTATACCTGATTACTCCCCAAAACAGTGGGTTTTAAATTCCTACTATTCGATAGATTGATTAGCACTGCTATCAATGATCATATCTGTTTCCAGAAAGGAAAGAAAAAAGGATACTCAGAGGATGGTGTATGGTGGAGAGGGCTGATTGTTATCATATTGCATACCACTTTATTAGTTATGTCAAACATCACAAAAGTCTTCATGTCTAATTGGCTTCACTTCATGTCTTAAATTCTCAGTAATTTTAATAGCAAGTTAGGAATAATAAAGTTTCTGCTCATTTTGTATAAAAATATTTAATTAATGACACTTGGAAAGAATTTTGTTTGAGAGTAGGGAATTTTTTTTCAGAATTTCTTTGTAGGGTTTACGTAAAGATAAACTTGCGCCTTTTAACTTTAATCTAAAAATGTTTTGCTTTTCAATTGTACTTTCACTGACCACAAAAACCACACAAGGTTTTTGATAGGTCTGAGAGATATCATCTGACTTCTTCCTTGTGCTGCAGCAATGACTAAAAATAGCAAAAGAACGCTAAACTTGCACATTGGGTTAGATGTCATAACTATATTGTGAAATCTGGAATTCTTCTAATTCTCAATGTTTCTTGGCACTTTAACAGATAGAGATATTTTAACCAATCTATGTTACTTACTGCGTTGCAATTGAACAGAAATGATAAAGTACTATATGGCAAATTGAGATGACTGCACAAATCTACTGTGCAACACTGGAGACAGCACTGGAGATCATTTTAGAGGGATAATCAACAGAACAAATAAAATGATAAATACAAGCTTATAAAGCTTTGTGCTCTTTTTAGGTTCAGTTTTTAAGTTAACCTAATTGTTTGATGATTTTCTTTGGTAGCATAAATTGTCATGTTAATCAAAATATTAAGAGTTAGGAACATGAGCATAGGAATTGAAAAATGAAAGCCAATAACTAACTTGAACTTTGTAAACAAATCCAATTCTCTAAGGGCAAATCTATGAAATGACTTATCACAGTTCAACAGGAAAGTTTATAATACCTTGTCCTAACCCTTTTTTGGTCTAACAATATTTGATGAGATAAACTCCAGTATTGGTGTTAACAGATCTTTGAAGTCTATTTCCACAGCATTTAACTTGAAATAAGTGAAAACTCTACATATTTAACTAGTATTATATACATCATACAGTTTCTAAAGGTGAATAAAATTTCCTTACTAATGAAGAAAAGACCTTCCAAGACACTGCTTCTATTAAATAATATTTAGAAACTTATCTGAAAAGACCCTGCATCAGACATAATTGGATATCTTGTAGTTTCGAAGCTTTCTAATTTTCTGTCCTAATGATACTCTTTCATCTCCTCCTTGCCCAATCTGAATGACCATATGGAAATCACCGGATAACTTCTAAGCTCACATTTTAGTCAATGCTGGATGTACCTGTCTTAATTTAGTTTCCAGACATGAGAAAGAAAGATGAGTTGCCCCTTTAAGTGAATCAAAGCAAAGTGTTTTGAACACAATAATTATTTTTCCATCTGTTCTGTTGTCAAAAGATACAATATTACCACTGGCAATACACAGAGAAAGCAAAGAGGGAAAAGCATCTACTATATATCTGACATACTGAAAGTCAAGATGTGTCCCCACAGTCAACTCATGTTAACTCAAATGTGTTCTAGAAGTGTCTTAATTAACCAGAAGAGAATGTCTTTTAAGTGAGTTATAGAAAGGCATTCAGTGATTGAGACTCAAAGACATTAATGTGTCAATGTGTGTAGCAGCAAGCAATTGGGCCTGCTTCTTAACTGATATATTTTATGGAAAATGAGAAAATGAAAAAGTGACTTTACCACGACTCCTTTTTTAGCATAGCAACTTCTAGACAATCCACAGAGGATGTAATTGGCTAACACATGTACTTTGTTATTCTTTCATTTGAAAGAAACACTATTTTTAATCATTTGTAAAAGATTACTAAAACATGACAAAAAGTGGGTATACTTAATATTAGAAAAACAACTACAGAAAACATTGAAAATTACTTTATAACATATCAATATATGTATATACCCACTTTGTGTGTGTGTCTGTGAGGAAGACTGGCCCTCAGCTAACATCCATTGCCAATCTTCCTCTTTTTACTTGAGGAAGATTGTCGCTGAGCTAACATCTGTGCCAGTCTTCCTCTATTTTGTATATGGGATGCTGCCACAGCATGGCTTGATGAGCAGTGTACACACTCCCAGGATCTGAACCTGCGAACCCTGGGCCACTGAAGCAGAGTGCGCGAACTTAACCACTATTTCACCAGGCCGGCCCCTAGCACACTTTTTTTTGTAAATGGTTGACTTGCTCTAGAAATGACAACACTGTCATATTAGATGAAAAAATACATGCTTATCATTTAATCATGAGGAATTAAAACGGAAATGAGGAATTAAAATTTCTATTTCTCATCTCACAACTTTCTTCCTATTATTTTATTCATGTACTATCACCCATGCAACTATCAAAAATGCGTGTACCGTGTCATGAATTTATTTTCTTTAATTTCTTTTTTTATATTTTATATTTCCCCCTCCCTCTTTTATTTTCCACTTACTGATCATAACAGACACTGTGTTCACATTGGGGTTGAAAGAGCAGCGTCCTTTTCCAGATTCACACTTGGAGTCAATCATGAAAACTTGGTCCTTTATTATAAATAAAATTGAAAATGTAGTAACAATAAATAACGTTACATTTAGTTAGCCAATTGTTCTTTAGTAAAACAAAACATCATCATAAATAATATGCTTTCTACTTGGTTGTTTACACCTTCCCAATTTACTATACTAAGACTTTCTTGGCCTGTATGAAGAATCCATCTGTAAATTACAAGCTAACCTCAGCAGGTCGAGTTCTCATCCTATTACACTCCCCATAAAGCTGATCCAACAAGTTCTCCTCAAATCGACGTCAGCAAAAATCACTTGGAAATCAAGGACCATTGTAAACTTCAACTAGATATGTTAGACATTCGCCAAAAGAAGAAAATTGTCCCCAGAGGAACAATGTGTATAAGGATTACAATATTTCCAAAATATTCAAGACATTTTTCAAATATAAAATTTTATGTTATCATTTAATTTTGTTACACAAAGTGTTATAACAGATTCAACAAAATAATTTATAATTTAGATAAAAATATTTCATTTACTCATCATTTATTTATTTAACAAAAATTTATGGAGCTTTTTTTGAGTATTGAGCTATACTACATGCCAGGCATTGACAAAACATTGGGGATACAGTAAACAAAACAGACAAAAATCTTTACCCTCAAGTAATTTATAATCTAATGATGGAAAATACAAATACATAAATATAGACTGTAAAGAGAATAAATAGGTAAAACATAAAGTTTGTTAGATGGTCCTCAGTGCTTAGGAGTAAAATTAAGCAGGGAATGGGACTAGGGAAGCCCAGGGATTGGGAGCAATGGATTCAATTTGAAATATAATGATCAGTGTAGCCTCACTAAGAGGGAACATTTTGTTGGTACATTTATCTTTTTCTTATATAAAGTTAGTAAAAGCTACTAGCAACATTCAAAGAAAGAAATGATCACTTTTCTAGGTTGCATTCAATGATGGAGGACCTTAATTACCAAGCTAAGGGTTTTCAAAATTATCCTGAGAGAAATGCAGGCTCAACATTTTTGAGTATGGAAAAGAAAGGATCAAAATGCTGCTTTGAGATGACTGGACCTTTCCTTGTGCTTTAAGAAGACTGAGAATGGCAATTATAAAAACAGACACTGGATTCAAGAAAATAGATTTTTCAATTGCAATAGTCCAGGAATTAGGCAATAATAATCCAACATGCCAGGATCTCAGAGGTCATGGTAAGAGCAGTAAAGGTGCAACAGAGTTTGTAAAGTAGAAATCAACAGAGCTGGCAATCAATTACAAGTTGGAGGTAGTTCAGGAAGATGAAGAAAACAAAGATGATTCTGAAGTTTTGACTCCTCAAAGAAAATAAATATAGTTCATTTTTCTTATATTGGGTTTGATGTATTGGCAGAACATCCCTGAGGCAAGAGAGAATCACAGAGATTAAAAAGAGTAACAGTCCTCTAGCTTGGAAATGTTCTACAACATGATCCTCTTCAACAAATTAACTCTACAGATGAGGGAAATATGACTTGCTCAAGATTACCTAGCTAAATAATGACAAAAGCAAAACTAAAATTTAGTCTCCTGACTTCCAACTACATCTGCTTTCCAAAAGGTCATCATTTATATATTGACAAAAATAAATAAATAAATGATAAACATGAGGAAAAACAATAAAATATAGTAAGGCTGGTTGTGATTCTTAGTCATAGACATACATAGATTTGAACTAAAATCTACAGGGAACTGCAGGAATTGACAAGATTTCTAGATACCACTTGCTCTCCATTGACCAACTCCTCCATTGGCCAGCATCCTTATACTCACACATAGTCTAGATCTTGTCATCACGAGGAAGTGATGTGGTCCACCGGAATAATCACTAATTCAAGCACCTGGCAACGATTCTTCAAACTCATCTCCTAAGAACTCTCTGTATCTTTTTCCAGTTCATCAGCCTTCTCTCTTCTTGACGTTTTTATTAACAAGTTTAGATTCCATGCTTTTTAATTTTATTTTTTTTTTGCAAAACTATTAAGTTCCTTGAATCCATGATTTTTTTTTACTTCATCCACAGCCTGGAAGGACAGGTCTATCCACATTCTCCATACTTGCCTCCAACCTTTTAAATATTTTGCAGAAGGTGATCCAACAAAGTAAATTCAACCTAGTACATATTTGTGATCACCAACTCAAAATGGACCCTCTATACTGCTCAGCAACCTTTCAAGGAAACTTGTCAACTGCTTCTTCCATTAATAATTTCAAACCATCGCCACTGTAGTCACATCTTCTAACTTATTCTCAGCTCACATGATTGACAACCATGTTGCTGAGAAAGTGAAGTCCTTAAATGAGACATCCTCAACTTCTCACTACCAAACACATAAATATATATACACTAATACATCCACTAGTACATGAGTGGAACTATTTCTCTCACTTTGAGGCCAATCTTTCCACTAATGCTTTGGATCTCACCTTATCCAGTCTTCTTAGGCAACTTATACTTTCCATTATCTCTTCTCTTTCTTTGATCTTATTAACTGGATCCTTTACATCATCATTTGAACCATGCCTTCAGCTCTTACACATAACTCTCCTTGAGAATCACATTTCTTTCTTTCTTTTTTTTTTTTTTTTTTACATTTTATTTATTTTATTTTTTCCCCCCAAAGCCCCAGTGGATAGTTGTATGTCGTAGCTGCACATCCTTCTAGTTGCTGTATGCGGGACTCGGCCTCAGGATGAACGGAGAAGTGGTGCCTCGATGCGCACCCGGGATCCGAACCCGGGCCACCAGCATCGCAGCGCGCGCACTTAACCACCAAGCCACAGGGCCGGCCCATCTTTCTTTCTTTCTTTCTTTTTTCTTTTTGGTGAGGAAGACTAGCCCTGAGCTAACATCTGTTGCCAATCCTCCTCTTTTTGCTGAGGAAGATTGGCCCTGGGCTAACATCTGTGCCCATCTTCTTCTACATTATATGTGGGACGCCTGCCACAGCATGGCTTGATAAGCAGTGCAGAAGTCCATGCCCAGGACCCGAAGCTGCAAACCCTGGGCCACTGAAGTGGAGTGCAGGAACTTAACCACTACGCAACCCGGCCGGCCCAAGAGAATCACATTTCTTAATCACCGTTTCCTGACTTCTTACTTTCTTCTCAATACATTTCAATTGGGCATCTAATCTCAATTGTTCTATTGAAGCCCTTTTTGATAAGACTTAATGACAATAATGCTACACAATTCAGTGCTTATTTTTTAGACCTCATCTTACTTGGATTCTGAATGGTATCCAAGATTGTTGCCCACTTCCATAATTTTTAAATGATTTATTTTTATTCTCAGAACCAACACATTCTTGTTTTTTTCTGCTACTTCTCTTGTTTCTTTTTAGTCTTGTTTTAAGATCCTTTTTCCTCCATCTGGCCACTAAACTTAGGAGATCCTCAAGTCTCAACCATAGTCACTCTTCTCTTTTCACACTATACTCTCTCTGCATGATTAAATCCACACTTTGCTTGGGCTTCAGTTACTGTTATAAAATAATGACTCAAAGATTTATATGGTCAACTTTTATTCAACTGTCTACTTGATATTTTTACTTTATATTCTACATCTCAGACTCAACAGAAGCAAACCCAGGCTCATAATATTAACTTCAAACATGGTTCTCTTCATTGTTTCTCGTTTCACTTCATGGCAAATATATAATTAAAAAGGCCAAAAATAACAAACAAAAGCAAACAAACAATAAATGTCTACATCTATATTTTTATATATTTCCTTTTCCATAGCAAAACCCATCAGTATCACCTATTTTATTCTATTCTACATTTGGTGCCTATTTCTCTGTCTTCATTGCCACCCCCTGAGTATAATAATCTCTTTCTTTGCCTACTATATCAACTTGCTAGCTGATCTCACCACAGCCCTCCCAACTCCTCCCCACCCTAAATCTTTTGTAACATAATACACAGTAACAACTCAATTCTGTTCATGCCATTTTCTGTTTAAGATCATTCCAGTTGCTTCTCCTTTGGCACAGGAGCAAGACCAATATCTTAAAGGTAGCTTACAAGTTCTGACATGATTTCGTTTCTGCCATTATTCTCATTAAATAAATACACATTTGTGGATTGAATCAATGAGAGAAAATAATAGAACCAGAAAGAGCTCAAGTAACGAAAAATTAGGAAGAAGGCATAGCAAAATGTCTCATGATTATAGATGTCAATGAAGGCATTGAAAAATAGAGGGCATGACCAACATGTTATAGATTGGTCTAGGAGAAAGGATGCTGATTAGGGGAGTCAATTTGGTCATTGAGGAATCTTGGCATTAGGAAATAGTTTAGTTAATGAGTGGGAATGAAAGTCAGGTTAGAATGGTTTAATAAAGATATGGAAAACAGGAATATAAAAGCTGAAAATATAGCCTACTAGTCTGAGAAATTTTGTGGTGCAGTAAAAGAGAAAGAAAGGAGAAGGGTTGAAAGAAGTCACAGATCCAAGATAATAATTTTAAGGAAGGGAAATATGATCCTATTATTAAACAGGAGAAATAAGTAAATGCAGGGGAAAAGGAATGGAGATATAAAACAGAATGATGAAGGTTATTGATCAAAGAACTTTACTGATTAGGAAAATGCACATTTTTTCTTCTGACAAGAAGAAAGCTACAAAGAGATGCATAAACAGAAAAGTTTGGTGATGAATTTGCTTCAAAAAGCACAGGGAATAATTTGGATGCCTGTGATATTCTTGGTCATTTGTGATATTCAGGGTCAGCCAAAGGTAAGGTTATCTGCTTGATGAGTGGCAGGGTCAGGGGCTTAAATGGTATGCAATTGTTGGAACTGATGTTACGGAGACATCTGATAAAATCGACCAGAGATGAGATGTGGTAATATTCCAAGAATGTGCAGCAAAATTAACCATAATTGCTTTTTGTTAATGTTTTATTCATTATTTTAAGTCATTATTTACTTGTGTTGCTTTACCTTTTTCCAGGAACAGAAGACAGAGAGTGAAGATAGTGGATAGAAGAGAAGAACTGTCATCAGGAATTGATGTGGCAAGGACTGTAGGCTCTTTGGATGGGCACTGTTGAAACGCTCTAGGAAAGCTCTGAATCAGTCTCACAAAATAATGCAAGAGTCATAGGGTGTAATGAAAGTGTATGATGTTCCAAACGTAGAGTAGGCTCATAAAATATTCTCTGAGAGCCAATGAATTGCTATTTGACAGGTGGACAAAAGGTGGTTGATAGTGTCTCAGAAATAAAGCTGAATAATTAATGAGTGTGCCACCCTAACCTGGTTCACTTTCAAACCGGTTTCAAATACATGAAAAATGCCATATGTCAGCACTAACACAGGGTGTCAGCACAAGTACTACCACTGGTCATTACAAAATACAATGTTAGTGATAAGCAAGAAGGAGAATTCTCTCAAAATACAATTTTCTGCATCATTTTATGCTAGGGGATCTTTTATCTAAACTAAAGAAAATAAATACATTAGATATTTGATAAAACTGTGCATTCTATACTTACATTATTATTTATATATTATAGATATATAAAAATGATGTTATGGTGAAACCCTTTGACTTTATTAAGGAAAACATATAAAGCTTAAAATTCATAACCCTTTTCATACTTAAATTGGCTCTTAAGATGTTCACATATTATTTAAAGAGATTAACTAATGAAAATGCTTCCTTTTTGAAACATATCTTTTTAAGTGAGACTAAAGTAGTTAATACTTAGTAAAGTGATTAAAACTTATTCCATGCTGGTTTTTCAAACAAGACTATTTTTTGGGCCGACTTTCCAATTAAGCCTTGAAGTTCATAGTGGGCAATTTGTACATGGGAAAACCGTTTTATTTGAAATCCGTGCTCTGAAAATTACTATGCTATTGTTGGCCTATACAGTGACTGCATAGCCTTCAGCAGAGAGTCTGACAGATTGCAGACATCTGGGGTAGTGGTTTATTTAATCAATTGATCACAGGCATGTGGTTCTAATGACAAGCTCAATGCAGCCAACTGTACTTTACCAAGAAGCACAGCTTTACTTTTCTTTAAGAATTTTAATATTTCATATCATCTTGAACCACTTGGAAATGCTTCAATTTGGGGTCAAATTATAATTACTCAGTTATTTTTAAATGACTTTTTATTCACCAAAAGATATATATGTCTAAACTATGTCTGAAAAAAATTTAATAATAAAGGAATATAGAAAGAATCATTGTTTACTTATATTAGTTCTAAAGTAGATTAATCCCTGTTAAAGAAAAATAAACTTAATAAGATAGACCAGTAGTCATATTAATCTTTTTTACAATTCTAATCTCTAAAATTGAATTACGACACTATTTAAGAACTGGTCTTTCTAGATTTAAGTTGCATAATGAAACCGAAGCAAGATAATTTGAAAAATTTCGGTTTTTAAAATACTTAGATTAAGTAAAACAACCTGTTTGACTAAAAGAAGGAGGAAAAGCTCTTTTGGTCTAATGCATAGTTTCTGTAGTCAATAACTGTGAACTGGGATAAACACAGTCTTAAATACCACAGGTGAGGTTCAACCAGCCTTATTTGACTATACATTGGCTATATATTTACTCTTTAGCAAATGCTTTTGTTCACAGAACCCCAAATCATTTTAACCAACGAAAGAACGAGGCTAGAATAGCCTAGCGTAGACCGATGTTGCTCTAAAATGAAAGTATGATTTATTAATTATATAAAGTTCTTTTCAGCAAAGGCACTTGGCATCCTGCTTTATACATCTCTTACAGGTGTGTATCTCATAAAACTTTACCAAATTTGAAAGATAAATAAGAGATTACTTAAAATAGATTTCAGAAAGTGAGTTTATACTACAATATTTCTATAACAGAGCAAATTTTATCAATACCTTACAGTCTAAGTAATTATGAAATTATACTGTTTTTCTTTCCCTTATATTTTGCAGCTTTTCCATTCAGAAATATATATATATATATTTAATTAAAGGCAAAAGGCTATACAGTAAGTAACTTGGCAAACAGGAATCAAATGTAATATATTTTATGTTTAAAGGGCTTAAAACTTTTTTATGGCTATTAATGATATTTTCAAGTTTTTACTCTAAAATAGAGTTTTAAGAAATCTTTGACACTGAGACCAAAACTAAGAATAAAAAATTGTTACACTTACCTCTGATCTCCTCCCTCTGTTCAAATAAGTACAGACTGGGCTGAAGGCACCACTCCCACAAACATACAAATGCGTGCGGTTGAAGGCCTGAATCACACGGACGAAGTTCCCACAGCCGTGCTGAAACAAGAGGTAAACGAGCGGTCAGTAACCCAATGGCTTTTATTGCTGTTTCTAAGTATTACTGTGATACTTTGCTATACATTTTCCTTTCTGCTGTAACATTTTTATTGTTGTTAGGAGATAATGAGAGAACAACATGGTTTATTCCATTAGTTTATTTCAAGAGGAAGGTAGTCCAACTTAGATAATGAGTAAAATGATATGCCTCCCTCATTTCAATATTGTATACACTGTGTAAGTTTTTATGTTCTGAAACTTTATGAATTTACTGAGTGAGCCCAGCAGATGCAGAACACGCAGTGATTAATTCAGTCTCAGAGATCTGCGTTTCGTGCGGACCATGTTTATGTACTTCTGTAAGGTCACAGTCAGTTTATAATTACAATAATTATTTTGCATTTCATTGAGTGAATAAACGACAAGCTTTCCAATGGTTGGATGGGAGCAGGTGAGAAAGGAGATTTCAGGGAGAGGAAAGAATTTTAGGGAATCAGGGGTAGAGAGATAACAATTGCATCATTTTTCATAGAAAGCAACAATGCTGGCATTTTGTTTAAGATTCGTTTTATTCACCACTTGTAAAGGTCCGTAGTGTCTGCCATTGTGTACTAATGAAAATATGGACTCCGTATAAGCACAATTTCATTTGAAACATGTTTATAGAACTTGTGTGTATATACGGTTTTGAGGAAAATTTGAGGAAACAATTTGGTTTACTTTTCAATTTCTAAACTTTTCAGGTAAAGAGTAAGTTCATAAAGTTTCAGAACATAAAAACTTACACAGTATATACAATATTGAAATGAGAGAGGCATATCATTTTACTTATTATCTAAGTTGGACTACCTTCCTCCTGAAATAAACCAATGGAATAAACCATGTTGTTTGTCCTTTACTGACCACAAATTAACTAAGCCTGAGATTGACTGTTGTTTCCTTCACAAAGTCATTTTTCTCACAAAGAAGATTAAAAACAATGTTATAAACTAGAGAAAATTTTTTTTTATAAAGAAAGATATCAAAAGGCAACAGTAGCTTCCCCAAGGGTGATCAGACAGCATATAATTTTTTTCTCTTCATATATTTTACTAATTTTTTATAATGCATATTTATTATTTACATTATTAGAAAAGTAAAAAAGAAAGTTTGCTAAACGAGAAGTTAAATTTAAAGTCAATATTATTTTATATTTTCTCACCATTTTCTCCCTTTATATTCATTGTTAGTTGCCAGTAAATATACGCTTATTTTCATATGTAGTAATTTTATACATATATTTATTTTTTTATTGTCAATCTTTTATTTTATTTACCTTTTTTTTTCAATTTTTATTGTGGTAACACTGGTTTATAACATTGTATAAATTTCAGGTGTACATCATTATACTTCTATTTCTGCATAGATTACATCATGTTCATCACTCAAGGATTGATTACAATCCATATGTTTGTATTATGGATTTTTATTATCAAATAATCAATCATTAACACTGCTGTCAAAGACATTAATCCTTACAGACCAGACTATACACTTTATTTTCATTTTAAGACATTAAGGATTTTTGTTAAATATATAGTGTCACTGTATCTTGACACCTGTTTATAGAGGTACCTGAAAATTGACTACATAACTGCAGGTGACAATGTGTTTCTCTGAAGGAAAAGCACAGATGAAGTATGCTGTGTATGTAATATGTCTATGTTAAGGCTGTCTGTGAACAGTGAGACTGGTGTTTATTTTTTTCACATTCAAGTTTAATCATTCTGGGATTCTGTATATCATATTTTCCCATGAGACATGAATTCAATAGAATTCTACTAATAATAGGTTACATCTGTCTTGTCTTAAGTTTTGTAGATAGTTTACTGTCATGAATTATTGGTATTCGTAAAAGGAAAAGAAGTCACTAATATGTCTTTTATATTTCAAATACAGATTACACTTGTTTCATGTATATATCTACATATATATATTTTATGCTAAACATAGCTAATATTTGTTGAGAATTTATATATGCTTGACATTGGAATAATCACTTTATACATTTAACTTCTTTTACTTCCTAGGAGGTTTGATTTTTTACCTTTATAGATCACAGTTACAGAGCACACTATGTGCCACTTAGGCTCTTTACACTCATTCAATTTTTTATAACAACTCAACTCCATTTAGAAAAACAAAGCTTAGAGCTTTCTTAGTTAACTTGCCCGAGGTCATATAGCTAGAAATGGATAAAGTAGATTTTCAAACACAGATGTGTCTCACATTGAATCTTGTCCTTTTAACCACTTTATAATCTGTCATGGGGTGAGGAATCCACAGTTGTCAGAGGGAAGTTTTTATAACAGTTACTCATGTTTACAGAGCTCTTAATCCTTTGTGTTAATTGTTTTTAATCCTCACAGCAATGTTCCAATTAAAGCATTAGTCGCATTTTAGTGATGAGGAAAATGAGTCCTAAAGAGGTAAAACGAAGTGCTCTAGGTTTAATAAGTAACTGAGCTGGATCCTGAGCCATGGCCACCCTCCACCATCCAGCTTTTCCATAGGAAGGAGCTGATTAGCCAAGAGACAGATTCCCACAGTGTGCCCCTCCAAACCTCTCCACAGAGAAAAATACAAAAGAAAAAGAAGTCAGTTGAGTTAATTATTCAAAATCATTTTCTAGGTCCTTTCCATCTCCATTGTGCTGCCTTAGTTTCCGTCCACATTATATCTGACCTAGACCCTTGCAATCGTGTCAATTCCATCCAGTAAATATTGACTGAAATCATTCTGTGCAAGCACTGTGCATGGTGCCAGCAACACTGGAATGAACAGGCTCAACTCCTGCTGTCAGAGAAAGGAGGGCATAATACTCCAGGCTGTGGTAGATGCTATAAGAGGGTTCTACTTTTCAAAACTGCCAATAGAAAGAAAGAAGAGAGAATGAGTAATGCTGAACTGGATGTAAAGATTTGAGAGGGGGTGTCATTTGAGCTGAAACTTGCGGAATAAGCTAGAGATTTTGACAGGCAGAAACATAAGAAAAGAATATTCCAACAGAAAACAGAGTATGAACAAAAACAAGAGGCATGATGGTGCAGGGTGTACTTGGGAAATAGTGCCTAGAGGGGATAGAGGCTACTATGTGATGGAACCGGAGAGGCAATTAGAGTTGGTCTGCCAATATGCCACAGTCCTCAGATGGGCAGTGGAGAGTGGACTGAAGCATACAAATCTTAGAGCCAGATGATCTGGATTCAAACTCTGGCTTTATCTTTTACCAGCTGTTTGAACTTGAGATACATTTACTTTGCCTCTCTGTGCTTCAATTTTTTATCTGTAAATGGTGATGATAATATTTGTTGTGAGCAATAGACTAATAAAGCGCTTGGAATAGTGTCTGGCACATAATAAGTACACAGAGTGTCAGATACCAGATTCTTTCACAGGCATTTTCGGTTCCAATTGTCAGTACAAACCCCGTGAAGTGGACAGGGCATTTGTCCTGCACAGAGCTTAGTACAGGTCCTGACCATAGCAGGTATCCATGAAAGGTTTGGGGAATCAGACTTCAGTGAAGTTCACACCATGGATGCTTTCTTTTCATTAATTCTCTTTCAAAACTATTTCCTGGTACAATGCTAAATGAAAAATCAGGCTGTTAACATTAGGCAGAATATAATACCATTAGGCAGAATATAATACTATTTTATTTATATACCTATATATTCATATAATAAAATTCTGGAAGAATATATCTCAAATTTTTAAGTTATTATGTTTGGGTAGTGTAATTTACTTAGCGGTAATATAGCATTTGCTGTGTGCTATGTACTGTTCTAAGCTCTTTGCAAATATTAACTCATTAATCCTCTTAACACAATAAGATAGGTACTAACCAGTCCTGGTAACCTAGTGGTTAAGATCTGGCGTTCTCACCATTGAGGCCTTGGTTCATTTCCTGGTCAGGGAACCACACCACCCATCCATCTGTTGGTTGTCATAATGTGGCAGTTGCGTGTTGCCGTGATACTGAAAGCTATGCCACCAGTATGTCAAATACCAGCAGGGTGACCCATGTGGACAGGTTTCAGTGGAGTTTTCAGACTAGAAAGACTAGGAAGAAGGCCCTGGTCACCCACTTCTGAAAAAATTGGCCATGAAAACTCTATGAATAGCAATGGAGCATTGTCTAATACAGGGCCAGGAGGTGAGAGGATGCACAAAAAAGACTGGGTGGGGTTCCACTCTGCTGTCCACAGGGTCGCTAGGAGTCAGAATTGACTCAATGGCACTAACAACAACAAAAATAGGTAGTATGAGTATGTCCATTATACAGATTAGAAAACTGAGGCACAGATAGGTTAAATCTCCAGGGTCAAACAGCTAATAAAAAATTATTTTCTGTTGTTTTCTACCTGCTTTTCTAAGCCTTCAAAGATTTCTGTATTGAATATGTCTTAGTTATATAATTTAAAAATAGATATTTTTAAAATATATCCAGGAGCACAGGTGAATAGGGCTTTAAAAATATTGACTCCTCATGGTCTACTATACAACGGAAAAAAAAAAATACCTCTTATTTTTTCTTCTTGGCCTACACTTCTTTGGTCTGGGGAATAAACCAAGGTATTTTGATAAATGTATTCCTAAAGAAAATATATTTTCCAGTAGTTTAGAATTCTCTGGTCACAGAAATAGGGAAACTGATATTCTACAATTAATAAATCAAGTTTGACATTGTGTGCATGTAATGCATATATGTCTAAATATACATAATCCTGCTTAATTTTTCAACCACCTCTCACAGTATTTACTTAGCACATTCATTATGCCCTGTCTCATTGGACAGCATGTGCTATTGTTTAAGCTCAATTTATTTAGAGTATGAATAAAATATTAACATTTAGAAATAAATGGAGCATGTAGGAATGTGAATACATAGGGGCAGAAAGGGAAATGGGAGGTGGGTTACCCTCTCTTTAGCTCAGGCAGAAAATTAGCTATATTCCCACCACGATAATTTATTTTCTTTATATACATTAGTTTGTTATAGCATTATGATAAATTATTACCTGGGATCAATTTTTAAATTGCATTGAATTATGTTAGAATAATTAAGTGTTTCTTATAACTTGAAAATCTGATATAAGCAAAAAAAAATCTAAAGGAGTAATGGATGCTTGATTCTGTTTTATTTTTTCTTTCAATTGTTACAGCAGTACGGATTTTGTCACTAGTTGTGCTTAGAAGATGATTAATATAATATTTGAAAACAAAAAATTTTAATTTAACCAAAATGGACTTCTAAAATATGCACATACTGAATTTACTACAAACATTATTAATCCAAAGGCATTAATAAATTCATCATCCACAGTGTCCTACCCCAACATCAGACCATCACTTGGAAGAGATTCTCATGCTTGCTTGCTTCCATCTCCATTTTTTTCAGATCTCATTTAAATTTTATGAAGTGCCTAGATACACATCGGGGCACTGGGGATAACGACACTTACTACCTGGTATTTCCAATCAGTGAGGGAAGAGTCATGGTTAAAAATGCAGTGAAGTAAGTGCTAGAGTGTTTCAGGTACGCACACGGGGTGGGGTAGCCAGCTGGTTGTGGGTGGGGAGAGAAGACCCTCCAGAGAAGTGACATCTGTGCTGTCACTTGAAAAGATGAGTAGAGAATTCCTAGGCTAAAAAGATCAGAAGATAATTGAACAAGAAGAGAATCACAGGTAGCATGTACCAAAGGCTGAAAGAGGAAAGTGTGCAACTTATTTGAATTTTGTTATCATTGAAATAAAATAATGGGAAAGGTTAACTAACGTAAGACCTAATGCCACCAAATCTATCGAACCTTTGCTAAATATCCCAGCTGCAAGGTGTCTTCTCTTTGTCTTTTGTGTGCATCCGTAGCATTTACCACATTCTTCCTAGAGAGGTGGCATGTTTTATCTGCTAAGGGTGCAGGATTCAGAGCCATCTGAGCCTGAGTCAGACAGTGGCCTTCCACCTGCCGGCAGTGCAGCTTTGGGTAAGTCTCTCACTCTCTAGTGACTCGGTTTCTTTATCTTAAAAATGTGGATGATGACAACAATGTCCATCTTGTAGCACTCTCACGAGGATTAAAATAAAGCACTTAACAGCGCCTGGCCCATTCCATTAAATGTTGGCTACTGTTATTGGATCATTATTGCATATATCTCTCATCATCTCTAGCATATTGTAAAGACTCTTAAAGGTAGGAACTCCATCTTATTTACCTCTAGCTTCTTCACAATAACTAACTGATTTGTGCAAATTCAAATATTTAATTCCTGCATTTTCTTAAATGAAGTATTAAGTAATTAGATGATATTTATTCCAACAGAGTTAAGAGATTCTTAAATATTTGGTTTCATTGAAAAGTGTAATAAAAATGTCTTGTTCTGTAGAACTTCTAAAGACCTATTTAGCATCATTTTTCTACCACTGGCCTTTTTCCTGTGGCCTGATTAAAAGACACTTCTCTGTAAATATCTCACATGATGAAATAAGGTAGATTTGTCAGACATCCTCTTCTCTTGCATAGACAGAATATGTATTTGAAAGACTTAGTTTGATTATTTCCCAGGACCCACTGATGTTTGCTGTAGTAGAACAGAACCCTCCACCAGTTACTTCTGTTACGTATACTAATTGGCTGTATAGCAGAATTTAAAGATATCCATCAATGATATTACAGCACAACAAAACTATGGGAAAATGTAAGCATGTATTGAAGATTTTACCTAATGACTTAATTATAAGTAAGCAAGTGACAGAGCATTTCTATTTTACCAAAGGGAGAAGGAAATCAAATGAGTTGGCTAAGATTCTTCAGAAAACCAACAGGAATTTTTGGAAAGAGAATGTGCAAAGGTATTTAAATCCCACATATTCTGCCTGTGGCAGTTTGTAGGAATGGGAAATGAAAATCTTTCTGAACAAAGGACAATTAAATCCATTGATTATAGCCACAGGATATCATTGTGGCAAAAGGCAAGATGTGATCAGATACACACTAATGGGAAAAATCTCTACATTAGAGAATGAAAGAGAACACAGTCACGTGTCACTTAACGATGGGGATATGTTCTGAGAAATGCGCTGTTAGGCAATTTCGTTGTTGTGCAATCATAGAGTGTATTTACACAAACCCAGATGGTACAGCCTACTATACACCTAGGCTACATGGTGCTAATCTTATGAGACCACCATTGTATATGTGGTCCATCTTTGACTGAAAGGTTGTTATGTAGCACATGACTGTAGTTTAATTTATGCACAATTATTGAAATAATAGCTTCAGGGGACAAAAAAAGCCTTCTTCTCCAAAACATTATATTTTCTTGGTTCCCTAGAAGGCAACCGTAATGTACTCTTTTGAATGTTTCTTCCACATTTTTCTAGGTTTTTCCCTCTAGATTGTGGTCCAACAGATCCCATGGGTAGCAAATATGCTCCTGCAAGCTCCTTTTGCCCACTTTAAAATTGATCTTATAAGGTGAATTATGAAACTGAAAACGTGAGACCCAGATCTGAGTCACACCTGGGGAGCTCTCTTGTCAATGAGACCAGGAGATGATACACTCCAGAGTCTTCTGTGGCCCTGACTTGAGTCAGACATTTTCAGAACCTTATACCTGGGACTAAGAGTCAATGAAGATAAAAAGTTTCATTTCCACACTTCTTCCACAAAGATTGGTCTTTTCCTTGTTTGAACAAACCTGCTGAATCTCAGAAACACACTCCCAAGGCTCAGTGCACAGCCTTCACTCCTGAAATCAGCATTTCTTACCTCTACACTTACAATGATAAGTGCTTGGTGAACATTTTTGACACTTGTTGAGGCTGTGTGACCTCCGACCTGATTGTGTGTATATCTGTGTACATTTACTAATTTTTCTACTCAGTCACCATACTGCAGTCTCATACCTGCATTAGCATGTATTTCCATGCTCATTTGATTAATGTTGCCTTCTCCAACAAGATAATAAAATTGATGAGAGCCAAAACTGTGTCTATTTTGGCACAAATTATATCTCTAGCAATTAACCTCATGCCAGACACATAATAGGTGCTTAATCAATATTTGTAGAATGAATGATTGAAAGAATGAATGAATGAATAAAGAAACTTCTTTACCAAATTATTTGTATAAGAGTGGGTGATTCTGATACTTGGTTCCATTATGTTATTTCCCATGATTTGAGACAAGAAGGTGAAATGACATATATCCTTCCTTGTAAACATTAAATGACTTGTGTGCATTAAAGATCTGCTCCATGTATTTCTTTTATAATATTCAAGAATAATTTAAAGTGTCAGTTTCAGCAAGTTGTTTGTAGAAATCAATATAGATTTACTCCTTGACTCTCTATACAGAATCCCACCTAAAGGAAGACAATTTGTACAAGTGTGGCACACTGAACATTTATTAATATTTATATCTGCCTTGATTTTTGCTTCTGTGGTTATTTTTAATTAACCAAGATACCAGTCATCACTGGTGATTTATGCCTCTGGAATGTGCCGGCTAACCACCACCCTTTTGCTGAGAATCTTTCTTTGGAAAAGCCCATGTGGTATCTGGGAACTGCTCCAGACACTTGCATTATCATTATTTCAGCAGCCTGCTGAGAATTCTGCAGGTTGGATCCACTTGGAATAGGGTTATTACTGAAATCTATCATGAAAATTGTCAGGGTGCAATAACGAAAGCAAAGCAGGACATTTTCACCCAGTCAGGAATTCCTAAATCGTAGTGTTTAAGAGGTCCAGTCTCTTTGCATTTCCATTTTTTACCATGTGTCCAGCAGAGGATTTAAAACACCAACACCCTTTGTCTTACTCTTGGCTGCACTCACGGTACATGGATTCAAAGACCAAATATTTAAGTTTTGGGGTTTTTTCAAGCACTCACTGTTGGATCTTTGCCAGCCATTTTGCATTCTTCAACTTTGATTGTAGATGCTGGCCAGAAAACCTGTTCAGAAAGGAAAATAAAGGTTGTACAATCTCACTTGTATATATGACAGCTCAATGCTCTTCTTCATTTACTTTATGATAACAGATTTCTTTAAGGTATTTCTATATTTATATTTCAAAATTCTTCTTTCATTTTATGAACTCATATAATGATTTTATTATTTTATTCTAAAAATTATGTTTTTTCTCCATCAATTTTTCCTTTAACAAAAGCCTTTCAATAATATGTGCCCATTTACTAATGGTATAATATTAAAATAAGGTCATCATTAATGTGCGCAGTATAATGTATACTTTCCTCCTTTTGATTTATAGTATGCTTTTCCCAACTGCTTATATCACAATGAATTTACACTTATTTTGTTATCTTGGTTTAATATCATTTTTGGTAAACTACACATCCACTACACATCCACTACACATCCAGGCTGGCAGATTTACTTAAAACGGGCCCCGAGGTACTTCGACAGCTAAAATAACTTGGATAAAATCCAAGAGACTCCGTCTCTGAAATACTGTGCTGGCTTTCTAAGTCACTGCAGCCTTGGGTCAGGTCTGGAGGTGATGATTATTTTTTTAATTGTCAGCCTATTGCTCATTGTTAAAATAATAAATTCAGCAGTCTCCTTGCTGTAATAAGTTTATAATTAATCCATTTTTATTTCTTTACTCCAATGAAGCATGATTTATTTTCTTGTTGTGAAATAGAATGATAAATACAGGCCATATTGTTCAAAGAACAGTACATTTAATAATTGTGTTCCTTTCAATGCCTTCTTGGATTACACACAGATGACACGGGAGGTCTTCCTTTAATCTGCCTTTTTTTATGCTATACTGCATGCTTCTCTTTTTCCCTTTCTATCCGTGTATACACAGGAAGTATTTTCTCATTTAGCTTCAGGTTTTAGATTGTTAAAAACTATGAAACCAGACAGGGAGTATTGAATTGATGATATTTTCAGCCCGTGAAATAGGTACTAACTTCCAACTGTTTATTAACATGTGGCCAGTATTTTCTATTGTTCTAATGAAATACGTAATTTTTTCATTGTCTATGAATTTTTTGAAGAAACGGGCACCTAGGAGGTCAACACTGCCATCATGAAAATGATAAACTTACACTCAAAGGTTCTTGACTTATATTGTTAATATTCAAGGAAAGAATGTGATCTTTGCTGCCCACATATATCCGGTCCTGATCTTCATCCATTAATAATATCCTGTAGTCTAAAGGATGGTGGGACAGGCTGAAGTATTCAGAGGTCTTGGTTTCTCGAAGCTCTGAAACAGTGAACAGCACAAGTGAAAATACAGTATCTTGGTTCTATGAGTCTATTATTTGAATGAAAATTATCTTACAGAAGTATTTACCAAAGAAGTCAAGATATATTTTCCTCCTACAATAATAAATTAATTTAAAAATAGAGATATGTTAGTGGATATTTTTATTTATTGCCTCTATGGTGAAGTAAAACATAAATAAATCAATAAATGCAATGTTAAAGTTTATAGTAATACTATTTGATTACAAAACTATTGACATTTTGTAAGAATCTCAACTCCATTTTATTACTGGCTGTCATCAGCTCAAAACTCGTTAAAATAGAGCAACCAAAAACATATAGTAAGTGAGCAGACTGAACAAAAAAACAAAAGGGATGACAGTGTGAATGTCTTCCTAGCCTCTCTTAATGTTTTGGACTCAATACATTCTCAGTTGTTGGACTCGAAATGTTCATCATTTTAGGACTGTTATTTCCTACTCTAAATATTTACCTTACTTCCTCAACATAATTCTAACTAGTTTAATATACATTTCTATAAATGATTTGAAAACAAATCTACTTTTTCCCATTACCTCTCATTCAGAAGGTAATGTTGTTTAAATGACAGTATGCCTATGTATATATTAAAAGGAACAATAAGAATTTTCAGATGTTCTGAATTTTTAGATTTTCAGTATCTCAATGATCAATGACTCATGTTCACTTAACTTCTTTTACATTAAATATGTGCCTGTATAGCCGAACTTTGAAGACGATGAATGCACCATGACAATAAAAAAATCAATAACCATTATCGCAGATTCAATTTTCTTTCCAGTCGAAATGCTCTTTTGCACAATTTAAGACTTTTCCATTCAAATGTTTCCGAATTTCTTTGTTCTTTAGATTATGATCTTAAGAGGGTGACAAACTCTACAAAAGAGTCTGCTTTCAGGGATTACTGTTTCAATGATGAACTGTTTCTAAATTTTTAGTCATTTAATCACAAATACATTTCTAGAAACTCTGATAGGGCTGTGATTTGACTTAAACCAAAATTGAAAATTATAAGAATTTTTATAGGAGGCCATGAACTATATTCTGTGAGGACTTGGGCCATATCACATATGTGAAGATAGAGAAGCCACAATTTAAGCTGTTTTCTGGGCACACCAGTTCAGAATGTCTGCCATAATATCTTTCAAGTAGCTTTATATCTAGCTAATAATCTGAAAATACCACGGGAGTAGCATAGTAATTATGAAGCAAGGCTGTGGCACCAAACTTTCTGTGACATTGAGCAAGTTACTTAACTTCTCTGTGCCTTAATTTCCTCATTTGTAAAAATAACACCTTCTGCTGAGAGTTCCTATGGAAATCAATTGAATTAATACATGTAAATATTTGAAACGAGTGACAAAGTATTCAATAAATTCTAATAATTATTACTGTTAGTATTACCAAGTTTGAATAATTAGTTATAAGAAAGATTTATGGCATTAGATAAAATAGATACATATTTTCCTATTTTTTGCTTTTTTAAGTAGCTAGATCCCTAAAATTACTAACACATGATCTTAAAATATAGTCTCTGATATTCTGTACATAAAATGACAGTAAAGTATAGGATTTTTTTATGTGGAAGAAACCATTAAGAAGTTAGAAAAAACATTTCAGAAGAATCTTGAGAAGCAATTATGAGAGGAGACAAGAACAAAAGACATTGGAAGATCATTTAAACAAGAGACTAGAGGACAGATCTTTGGATGGGGGATTTGAGACACTGAGCACCATGCAGCGTGCTAACCTAGTTCCTGAGCCTCACTACGTACCACTGACTGACAGGGGATGCCGTTGGCAGCGGTGGTACCACTGGCCCAGAAACTGGAACAACTTCCTTCATGAGGAGAGCAAGAAGGGTGGAGGGATGTCATTCAGGAAAAAAAGTCAGCCCCTGCCAGAGCACAGGTGATTGCTCAAACAGGAAAAAAATAACTCAAGATCACAGGACATGAGAGAGAATGTAGACTCCAACAACTGTCAATCAAAGGTTGGAGAAGACTCAAGCTGCCTCAATTTTACCTAAAATCTAGGGTGTTTTATAAAGCTTGTTTTTCATCTTATGGAGAAGATTCATGGTTGTGTAATTTTTCCGGAAAACATCAGGAGTAGGGTGTAGCTTGGGGTGTAGAATAGATATTCAACAAACACCTCTTGAATAAACAACTTTCCAGTGAAATACACAGACTAAAGAAGTAAAATGTGATTGAGTTCATGGGCTTTGGGGCCCAACCACTGGAGTCTGAATCCTGCCTCTGCCATTCCATTTCTTTTTTTTTTTTTTTTTTTTTTTTTGCAGAGGAAGACTTTCCCTAAGCTAACATCCCCTGCCATTCTTCCTCTCTTTGTATGTGAGCTGCCACCACAGCATGGCCACTGACAGATAAGTGGTGTAGGTCCATGCCTGGGAACTGAACCCAGGCCACCGAAGCAGAGCAAGCCAAACTTAACCACTAGGACACTGGGGCTGGCCCTGCCATTTTATTTCTATGTATACTTGGCAAGTGCCTTTATCCCTCTGTATTCCAGTGTCTTCACCTGTAAAGTCAGGATAATAATAATACCTACATCATAGGGGTATTGTGAGGTCTAACTTATCAGTATACATCACGTGCTTAAAAGAGTGCCTGTCCTATGGTGACTTGGGTTACAGGGGTTTCTTATTATTATGACTTGGGCCAAGACATCAAGCTTCAGCCAGCAAAGTAAGAAGAACAACTCCTTACACAGGAAGAAAATATGGAAGACTAGATTGCCTGATTTATATTTACTAATATATTTAATATTTCTTTTTTTTCACATGCAGAATCTATGCAAATTATTTGAATAGGAGAGTAAAAATAATAAATCATTTTTAAGGAAAATAATTTTGAGTGTGCAGGATAATTTTGGAGTATGTGAGACTAGAAAACTACCAGATGCTGTTCCATATATGATGTTGATAAAGACCCGATATGCTAGAAATGAAAAGGAAGAGTTGATGTGAGAAACACTTAAAATAAAGGATTTGGAATGATTTTATATGAAGTTGGTCTTGGGGTAAAAGGAAGATATAAACGCCTCCCAAAATTGTAAACTAAGAACAGGAGAAATGAACATGCCTTTACCACTTTTGGGGGATTCAAAAGGGAAATTTCTTTGGTAGAGAGATTCTTTGAGTATTGATAGATGAAATTCAAATGAAAGCAGAAATATCCCTCAAAGATGTAAAATTAGATAATGAATTTGCCATTAGAAATATCAGCTCTGCAGGTAGAGAGTTCTAATTCTTCTCATGGGTTATGAAGCTCTGAGAGTAGACGGCTCTGAGGAAGCTCAGAGGAAGAGTAAATCTAAAGTGAAAAAGCAAAGCATAGAGATGCTCTGATTGTTAGATCTGAAACGAGCAGCTCTGTAATTGAAAGTGAAAGTGAGGGGGCCAGCCCCATGGCTTAGCGGTTAAGTGCGCGCGCTCCGCTACTGGCGGCCCGGGTTCGGATCCCGGGCGCGCACCAACACGCCGCTTCTCTGGCTACGCTGAGGCTGCGTCCCACATGCAGCAACTAGAAGGATGTGCAGCTGTGACATACAGCTATCTGCTGGGGCTTCCGGGGCGGGGGGGGAAACAAAAAAAGGAGGAGGATTGGCAATGGATGTTAGCTCAGAGCCGGTCTTCCTCAGCAAGAAGAGGAGAATTAGCATGGATGTTAGCTCAGGGCTGATCTTCCTCCAAAAAAAAAAGGAAAGGGAAAGTGAGTCACGATGTATAGGCAACAGTGTGATGCTGTGGAGAGAGTACAGAATGGGAGTCAGGCAGTTCCAAGTCTAAATTTCAGCTTCATCACTTACTACCCATGTTATTTTAAGAAATCTACCTTATCTCTCCCAGTTTCAACTTCCTCATCTATAAACTGATTGTATACATACATAGCTCAATACATAGCTCAAAGGGTGTTACCCCAGCACACAGTGGAGGCTCAGTCTGTGCTCCTTGCAGCAGAAGACACTGCTGACCCTCTGTCTAACAGACATTTTCTTCCCTGTGGACAGAGCTGGTCTATGCCAACCCTAGTGGTCCCATCCCCCTAGCCAGTGAGTGCTTTAAATACGGCCATTGACTAGTTCCGCTCAACGAGATTTAAAGGGAACCCTTCTGAGGGGTACTGGAAGAGATTTCTTGGGTCTTAAAAACTGGCACAAAAATGACGTGATTTCTTTTTCTGCCTCTGGACATTGGTATGTGAACATAGGATACGCAGCAATTTCAGCTACCAAGAAGATCGCTAGCTGAGAAAGACAAGCACAAATTTAGAAAAAAAGCTGAGGTCTTTAAGAAATCATTTGATCTCTGAATTAACCCTGGAACTGCTCTATCACTGGACTACTTCTGTTATATAAGATTAAAAAAAATCCTTGCATTTTTTAGGCACCTCACATTGAGGTTTTCATTTCCTGTTGTTGAAACTCTTACTAAGTGATCCATCTTCTGAGTGTTCATAACCCCTAACTACCACCTTCTCACCTCTTTCTACCATGGTTTGTTTAGTTTGGGTATTTTTTCAAAATGTTCTTTTTAAAAAATGTTTCCCTTCTCTACCTAATCTATATTGAAATAAAACCAAGAATGTGATTTTAGCTGGGAAAATAGTCTGAACTGAATTTTACTTGCAAGTAACAAAAATGGCAGTTCTCCTCTTTACCTGTTTCATTAGAAAATAATCAATTTCTTGCATTAATTCAAATACCAGAGGGAACAATAACTGCATTAACTTAAGACCTTTCTGGTCCAAGGATTTCATCTATTTTTCTGAGCTATAAAGCTATCTTCAAATTTAATTACCTGTAGCTCATTGACAGTTGACAGCTGTTAACCAAGGAAGATCTACTTTAGAAGTGCCCCTGTTAGAAGACTAGGAGCCAAGGCTATTTTGTTAAAATGCCATTTAAATTGCTGTTAGTAGCCATAATTGAACTTTG